ACACACACAGTGGAACTCCTTACAAGAACCAACTGAACAACCAAAGCAGCAGAACAGAGAGAACAGAACAGACCGACCCCATACTGAAATAAAAAGCCTAGCTATAATGGAACCTAGGCAACTGCAGATGAAAAAGTTTTTTTCCCCCCTCCACACACCCAAACCAAATGGGGCTTCCCAGGGTCAGAGCCAAATCGAAATGTTGAAGTTTCAGTTCTGAAAAAAACTGCTGACACAATGTCTGTCGACAGCAGGATGCAAAATGGCTCATCAAGATCTTGCATGCAGAGTAACAGTATAATCACAATTTTTCTGGTTCGTAAAAGCCTTGTGAATATTGCTGAAAAAACTTAGAAGAAAGCATCTGGATGCAGTTTTAGGTAGAAGACATTTCACCTCTCATCCAAGAGGCTTCATCATGATGATGCTGTCTTCTAATTTTTTTCAGCATACTACAACCTGGATGACTGAGAATTTGCACAGACATCTTGTGAATATTGTATACACCCCGATGTTTCCCAAATAAAAGTCCCTGGTGTGAGGTTCAATTATTTTCTATACTCAGTCCCCATGAAACAAACCAATCACACACACCAGCTTTCTATCTGCTCTGTTATAACAACTCAGAGATTACAGCCAAACTGCCCCTGAGTGACAGAGGGACCCAGAGGACAAAAACAGCAGCAGGAGCCTAAAGGAAACATGCCTGTGACGTGCAGAGAAAACCCAGATTAGGAAAGAGCTCAATCATTACTCTCACTTCGTAAACAAATTTCTTCGGGCATGTCCTTGAGCAGCACTTCCATTTCTTGGCTAATGAAACTAAACTGAGGAACTGAGGAAAATACAACTGAGGAAGCAATCATGACTGTTAGAGCTATGTATGCACTGTATACACTGTAACACACCAATCCTATGAAAGAATTTACTGAAAGATTAATCTATTCATTTTTGAACATTTTAATCTCCTGCCATTATGAACTGGCCCTGAAGCTACTAGAGCAACCCCATTAATACACATTACTGTCCTTTTAACCATGGATGCTCTTGAGCATTTAATATTAATGTTACTGATTTGAGCTACAGGTCAATATCTGTAGTACAGTGAGTGCGTTTATCCACTACAGCTGCCAATGAATGTGTCTGACAGGCTCAGTATGATAAGAAGAGGAAATTTAAAAACCTTAGCGATTTTTTAATGACACAAATGACGTTACTGGTCTTTAAAATTTTAATATTATTGACTCTCAGCTAAACAAAGTCTACAGATTAAGACATGGAAACAAAATTCAAACAAACTGGATTTGTCTGACATGATTCATTTGTGCTAATGCTGATACAATGGAAAAATTCTTCAGCCCCGACTTTGTAAATTTGTTAATTTTTAGGTTATTGTCATACAGCACATCTTACCTGCACTGCATGTTCCTGCACATTCTTTGCCTGATGCATGAAATCGAAGCTTTGTATAACCTCACAAGTGAAGCAAAGTTAATCTACGTCAAACTCTCTCTCTGATCTACTGGTTTTCATTGTGCTCTCTTAAGTGTTGCAATGTGTAACAGTGAAATATACTGAAATGAAAATTATCTCATAAATAAATTTAAAAAAAAAAAACTTCGGAAGGGGCAGCTTGGAAAATATACTTGTTCACTTTTCATGCTAGAATAAACAA